TTCATGCTCTGTCTCTCTCTGTCCCAAAAATAAATAAATGTTGAAAAAAAAAATGAAAACACAATCTTTTAAAAAAAAAAAAAAAACAAATAATGTTCTGCCTCCCCCGCACTGTTGTCAGGAGACCACTAGATACTACTGTCAGCATTTCTGCCAGTTCTAGATTCCCTTTTCCCATACACTCTTCTTTTGTTGGTAGAAAGATTTTTTTATGAGAATTCCTCTTAAAATTTACTACTTTGAATGTGTTGTAGACTATGAATTTAGATGATTATTGTTTAATAACTGTTACTATTGTGCGTGAAAGTAAAAGAAAAGTTCTAAGGGTGGATGTGAAGATTATCTGTGGGTAAATGAGCCAAACAGTGGTTTTTATGACAGACTTTATATTGTTTATTCTGACTTCTGCATGGTCCTGCATCTCTGCTCTGCTCTGAGCTGTTAATGTCGAATATGAAAAGTGACCTCTAGGGAGCAAACCCTCACACATGGTATGTTCCAGTCAGGCATTAAAAAGTGTGGTGAACACAGGCAGATCACAACTGCCCTGTGACTCAGTTTATTCACCTGTAGAATGACAGGGCTGGCCTAGATGATCTCCAAAGTCCTTAGGGGCCAAAAAACTTAGCTCAGCAATGAAAAGTTTAAAATCTCTGAAGACCAGAGTGTTTGGAGGATTGAATGGCCACTTTGGATTGAGAACGTCATGGGAATCCTCCCAAAGGAGGAGGATCAGATTTAGGAGGGCATAAAAGGTAGACTGGTGGGGAAATGTGCCTTGAGAAAATTCAAGGCCTTTTCAGCAGTTATTGTGGTTAAAGTATACGTAAAATTTACCATTTTAACTATTTTTAAGTGTACAGTCCAGTAACATTAAGCATATTCACATTATTGTGTCACCATCACACTACCCATTTCTAGAACCTTTTCATCATGTCAGACTGAAACTCTGTGCCCATTATATACTAACTCCCCATTTCCTGCTCCCCCAATCCCTGGTAACCACCAGCCCGCTTTCTGTCTCTAGGAATTTGACTGATCTAGATTCCTCATATAAGTGGACCCATACAATATCTGTCCTTTTGTGTCTGGCTTATTTCACCAAACATGTGGTTTAGGGTTCATCCATGTTGTGGCATGTGTCAGAATCCCATTCCTTTTTAAGGCTGGGTCATAGTCCATTGTGTGTGTCTACTGTGTTGTGTCCATTCATCTCTTGGTTGAGGTTTGGGCTGTTGCCATCTTTTGGTATTATAAGCAGTGCGTGTATGAACATGTGTGCACAAGTATCTCTTCAAGTCTCTGCTTTCATTTCTTTTGGGTACATACCCAGAAGTGGAACTGCTGGATCATATGTTGATTCCATGTTTAGCTTTTTGAAGAACTGCCAAACTCTTCTCCATTGTGGCTGTACCATTTTCCCACCAGCTTTTCAGGAGGGTTCCAGTTTCTCCAAGGGGAAAAAGTAGTTGTAAATGCTCATTGTGAAGCAGCTTGCCTAGAGCCCATATTTCTCGTGAGGCAGGAATAAGGCCTGCAGTTAGGATAGCACACTGAGGTCACATTATGGAGGGTCTTGAAGGCCTGGACACGGGGTTGGTACTTTATTCTCTAGGCTCTAAGAAGCTTGTGAGAGAGAAGCAGGATTAGAATGGTACTGTAGGAAGGCTGAGGGCCACAGGATATGTCAGGATGGATTGGGTCCTGGAAGTAGGACACGGGTTGGCAGAGGATTGTAGTTATTGTGCTGGGAGACCTGACCCAGGCTCCATGTGGGAAGGTAGGGAAGGCAGGGATGACAGTGGAGAAACTTCTGGGATCAGCAGTGCAGGACTGGGCCACAACCTATGCACATATATTGAGTGAAGGTAGCAGGAGTGTGAGGGTAAGGAGTCGTACCTCCTTGACCTCCAGCATCTTGATTTCTGAGGTCCTATGTTGAGGACAGGTTGTAGAGAGGGGGCCTATGTCTGGTTAGCTCCTAGCCTGCTAAAGGGACAGCCATTTGCCGCAGACCAGGGAACTATACTTTGGATGCCTGGAGGTATCCCCATGTAGTTGGTCATCCTAGAGTCTGGTGCCCTTGAGTAAAATAAGATTTTACTTACAAGCACTAAGAACCTTGCTCAGGAAACAGAAACACCAAACTGAAAGTAAACTTAGCATCTATGGAGAGAAAGAAGGGGAAAGAGGGTGCCAGTGAGGGTATCTAAACCAAAATCTAAGCTCGCTGCGAAGTTCTTATTTTGATCTCTAATTAACATAATGCATAAAAATGATGCAATCCTATGCAAAGCTGGTTTGCTTTGCATTTGCTGGTGTGCATGCCACCTCACTGGCTGAAAAATCATTTCTGCCTCAGAAGGCTTCTGTCCCCCTTTTCTCTCAGCCCCTTTGTGTTTCCACCACTGAAGATTTCCAGGAGGCACAGGGATCCATGAAGGAGCGGTCCTTTGTGTTACAATCAGACTGAGGGGGCCTGTGTGCAGGCATGGGAGGATGTGCCTGCGGGTGTGGTGGGTGGGTGGCTAGGTGTGGGTTTTAGTGGACACAGGTTGCAAGAGAGTTTTAAATAACTTATTTAAAATAGAGGGAATTAAGAGATCTGAATCAGATTTATAAGACATCATTAATTTAATTAGGCAAAGTATGGGGAAATACGCTACAAAGTTGATGTAATAACTGTTTCGAGTCATGGGATGTAGAAGACGATGAGGAAGCAGCTGACATTGTGGTGAGCAAGATTAGCCTGGCTGCTCTGGCCTTCCCAGTAAGGAGTGCCAGGCCTGGAAACCATTTTAACAAAGCTGCCACCCTGTCGCACCAGGCTGATGATACATGCTCTGCAAAAGGCAGCTCCTCTTATGTGCTTGAGAATCATTATGATAAGAACTATTATATTCTCTGGGTTCTTTGTAAGTAGATGTCCATCTTCTCAGTTGGGTTTGTGTATGTTTCTACCTGTATTCTCAAATATGTGGGTTCAGATGTTTTATGATTCTTATCCCTATCTAATGCTGAGAAAGAAAGTGACTCAGTTAAAAAACAATCTTTGGCTCACATACGTTTTTATCTGCATGTTAAACTGTCAGCAGCCTTTTGCAGGTTTCTTGCTGTGTGAAAAAGGTATGCTTGCTGACCCCAATAACAGAAGTTTGACAAGGCACAGCCAGCGACCCCTGGCAGGCCTGTTTCAGCTGTGCAGACACGCTCCGTTAGCAAATGCAAACTCCTTGCTGACTCGCCCAGCCTTATTTTTGCCCTGGAATTTGGTGGTTTCCCCAGCTGCTGTAGACAACAGTTAGAGGTGGGGAAGAGGCTGTTTCCTCCACAAGCACTAATTGCCTGAAAGAATTAACAGACTTTGAAGGGAACCACTTCACATTTTCAGAGAAGTCCTTTGAGCTTCCCAAGAAATGAACCTTCTTCTTTCTTCCATGAATGACCCCTGCAGGGACTCTGGATTCTGTTCCAGCATGAGCTCAGCAAAACCTCTCTCAGCTGCCCTGATTCTCAGAGCCATTGAGCAGTATGCCCTGTTACCCAAGGAAGCGATGGAGACTTCCGAAGAGAAGTCAGTCCTTGTAACTCTGCTCTGGTCCTTAAATCATCCGGATGGGCTGCCAGCAGGTTGCGCATTTGGAATCTTGAGGCAGGCCTTTGGGACAACTGTGAGAAATGAGACTACCTTGAAAATCTGCAGTACCAAACTCCACCTCTCTGTGGCACCTGAAGGAGATCCAGACTTTGAACAGGATCAAAGAGGCTGTAAACAGGAAAAGGGCTGTAAAAGGAAAAGCTCCTATTCTGCAGAGAGTGGGGAAGAGAACCCAGCAGTGTTTGTGGAGAAGTCCTGTTATGCCCACAAGAGAAGAGGGAGTGAGGAAGAAAGGAGGGGTGCTTTATCAGAGATGTCGAGAGCTATGACTCCCCGCAGGCGGGTATTTCCCTGAGATGTACTTTTGTAGCTTCTCCCAAGACTGGAAGGTGCATTCTAGCTAATGTGGGGATTAAGAGGAGGGAAGAAAGATGGAATAGAAAACATGGCAAGTCAGAGGTGAAAGATAAGGGAGCTTATCTGGTGATTGGCTGGATTTTTGCAAGAGTTTCTTCTGACTATAGGAAAAACATACACAATACCAGTGATGTCGGGCAGGCAATGGGACCTAGGCAGCAGGGAATCGTTTGCTTATTTGATAGAAAAATTCTGTTGGATCAGGCCTTTAGGAGGTTCATCCTGAGAGTTGACAGGTCACAACTTCAACCTGACAAATAAGACCGTGGTGTTTTAGTACAAGTGACATGGTGTAGAGCTCATTTGGGGGCAGGGTGTAAATAGATCTCCCAAGTAGTCTGGCTCTGGAGCACTGAGCTGTGCTGGTCCTCAGAGTTAGGAAGGACAATATGAAATTAAATAAGATGTGTGCCTGCCATTGTGTTGGGTATTTTATGTGTTGTGTGCTTTAATGCTTCCAGAAACTTGCACAGCGCCACTCTAAAGTACCCCCAAAATTGCTATGGTCAGTTCATCTGAAATGGCTATAATATCTAAGAGATAATTTTAACATTCTTTTAAAATTAAGTAGGTAGAATAATTATAATATTTATCTAATCATCTTGCTGAAAGTGTGGATAATAGCAGAAAAGAAAAAAAAAAAAACACGCCATTCCACATCACAGCCAATCCTATTTTGGCATATTTCCTTACAGTCCTTTTTTGAATGTCTCTAGTATAAATACAGTTTTGTATCTGACATTACAAACTTTTTTCCATGTTTATGAAGCTCTTCAGAAATGTGATTTTTAAATTGATGGTATTTTGATTTTTGGGGGGATTTTTTAACACGGGAGCATTTGGGGTTTTCTAATAGTTATTATATGTAGAGATTTCATCTTAATTTAATGTCTTCAAAGGTGCATTTTGTGCTAGATCTCAGCTATAAAAAACACTCAGCAGCCAAGGTTAATTCTTGAAACTATCCTTGTATTTCTGTTGACAGGGATCTACCGCACCGAAAGGGATAAAGGCACTCTGTATGAGCTCACCTTCAAAGGGGAGCAGAAGCACGAATTCAGACGACTTGTGTTGTTTCGACCATTTGGCCCTATCATGAAAGTAAAACAAGAAAAGCTCAACATGGCCAACACACTCATCAACGTTATCGTGCCACTGGCAAAGAGGGCGGACAAGTTCCGGCAGTTCATGCAGAATTTCAGGTTTGTTTGTTGGTACATGCCTCCCTTCCTCACTGTGGTGTGTGTTAAATGCTGATATCATTTCCCGGCGTTTCCTGCATTTCCTCTGCCCAATACAAAGGCCCCTTTCTCTTCTTGTTCAACTGTTTTCTTCATATAAAGTTTATCACTTGTATTTGCCTTTCCCTAAAGCAACCAGAAAACTGCCAGACAAGCAGATTTACTTTAAGAAATGAAAATTCGGAAGGGTGGCTTTTCATCAGGATCTGCAAAGATGGCTCACTGCCTGCTGTGTTCAGGCCTAGCTTGAGTTTGGGCTCAGGTTTGGGGACAGCCAGGGGCATGAGTGAGGCCTCTCCCAGACTCTGGAAAGCCATCATCCCCATGGCCCGTGGACTTGGATAGAGGATGTGTGCCTTCAGCTGCAGGAAGCCTTAGTTAGTTGTCCTGCTCCTGCAGCGGCTGCCATGGGTTGAATCGGAATCCATTTTTTATTCTAACCTACATCTCCTCAGAGATTAAATTTAGAATTATGCCAAGAAGTTTCCAAGCGTTCATTTTTGTAGCTACTCAAGAAGACGAAGTGCGATTTTATTTTCAGATGCAGTAATGTAGTTTTTACATATGTGTCTTCAAGCTCTCTATTGTGCAGTGTTGGCTCTTGTAAGCCGTTACGACTAACATTTCCTACATTGGTCAGGATTAATTAGCTCACTTAGCTAGCCAGCTTATTTTAAAGATTATATGTGTTAATATGTGTCTAATTATAATCTTGGAAGATCAAAATTTATTTTTAATCTTTTATCATTAAATTCACATTATTAAAAGCTGGTAATGCTCAGTAGAAGGGTGTGGTTGATACTTCTCAAAATTCTAGATAAAGTTTTACATTTGAAGACCAGCCCTTCTCTAAATAAATTTTAGGGTCAGAATTCAACAGTTTTAGAAGAGGCTTTTGTAAATCACCTGGTCATCCCTGACACATGTTCTCTGTGCCATGTAACTGCCTCCTTCACCAGGCAGGCTGCTCTGTTGTTGACCAGCTTCAGATATAAAGCTGGCTATTATTTGGACCTATAGTCCATCTCCCTGTGATTTATACTCTGTGGGTCTAGTTCTAGCCTCTGAGGAAATGACTGAACTAATCCATTTCCTCTTATACATCATAGTTTTAGATCTTTAAAGACAGCTATCAGAATGTCTGTTGTCTTTTCTTCTCCAGGTTCGGGACTTGTGCCTTCAGTTGTGACACCATGCGGAGTAGGGTGGGCTGATCTTTTCAACTGTTCCTGATTTGTAGGTCCCCTCTGCGACCATCACTTGAGTGTTGGCAGTGTCCTCTGACTCCAGTAGTAAAGTGTCTATGGAGCTTTGGCTACTCGCAGCCTTCCTTCAGTGTTTCTGTGTTCCCTGCATTTCTCTTTAGGATGTCAGAGTGCTGCTGGTTGATTAAGCATGATTTCCTGAGAAGGACTAAACCTGTGGTTGGCACTGAGCATTAAGTCAAATCATTGCTCCCAGCAGCTGGTGTGCCCATTTCTAGCACTAGTTGACAGTGAGTTTCTTTGGTTGGAAGCTGCCTAGAGCTTGCCAGATTATGGGCCCTGAAATCTGTGTCATCCAGTCATGAAGGCCAGTCACTGTGCGTGCTGGGCTTGGCAAGGTAGAGCTTGTGCTAAAGGAGTGTCTGCTCAGTCCTCTGCGTGGGACTCTGGGGCCTGGAGTAGCAGGATTCTCTTGGTTATATATGATCGGATTGCAAATAATAATAGGAATAAAACTAGAAGGGAAATATTGTTGAAAAAGGTAAAATGACTAGTTTACCAGTCTCCAACATTGAGATGATGAAATGAAATGTAATGTTAATGTTACATTTCTAGTTAAAACATCTAGTTAATGTTTTAAAATGTGGTACATAGGCAGGAGAGGGTGGGTGGGAAGGCTTGCTACTTGGGTAGGATATTTGGAAGGCCTGTGTGTGCCAGACACTTGACCAGATATAGGGGTAAAGAGATGAGCTCCAGAGATGGTGCCTGCATTCAGGTGGACTAGCATCCACTTGAAGGGAGCTAGGAGCTCCAGGAGAAATGGAGACCAGGGGCAGTGGGCCATAAGAAAGCCTTCCCAGGACAGAGGACACTCAGAAACTCTAGGGGTTTCTGAGTGTGTTGGGTCTCTGAAAAAATGAGATGAGAAAGGGTACTCAATCCTGAGAGTATTTAATTCTGTGTCAGAACTAGTAGAGGTGGATTTCAAAGCAGCCAGCAGAGAATGGATTGTTCAGTATATGGCCTTAGGACAACTAATCATAGCAGAAAAAATTTAATTCTTATTGCATACCAGAACTTAAAGTAAACACTGCTCAATTAAATATTTAAATAGAATTGATATAAATGTAAGAGTATTGGAGAAAATACAAGGGTCTATTTATTAAATATTTGATATTGTCTTTATGAAATCCCTTCCATCCCAAGATTAGAAGATACTAACTCTGGTTGGCCCTGAAGATGGCATCATGAGTGACTTTTGTTTCCTTCTTTTGAATTCTGGTTTGTAAATGTTTATGTAGTTACCATATGTTTTATGTTTTGTTTAAAAATTCAATGAAAGATTTTATTTTTGGCTGTTATAATTTAAACATGGATTTTTAGTTTATAAAAGTGATATATAGCTATTATAAGATATTTAAACAATACAGAACACAAGGAATCAATTATTTAAAAACTCCCGGCCTTCCCTCCCCCAATTAATCATTCTTAACATTAATTAAATTCCATTATAGGTACTTTTCTTTGAATATATGCACATAGAAGAATAACTTGCTAACTAGAAATAATTTAATATAACATGAGATATACTATATATTCTGCTTGTAATTAAATAATTACAATTTTACCTGAATTAATTTATAGAAACAAATCTGAAGTATAACTGAAGAAATTTCTGGTCTTTAAGAAAATGTTTCTCATTTGAATTCTCTCTCTCCCTCGCTCTCTGCCCCTCCCCCACGCTGTCCTGGTCTCTGTCAAATAAATAAACTTAAAAAAAAACAAAAAGAAAATGTTTTTCTGCTGTAAGAGGTAATTAGTTCTGAAGAGATCTCTGTAAAAAAAATTTTAAAAAAAGGTTTCACAAAACAGAAAATATTGGAATTACTATGTATTTTTTTGCTGCGTATTTTTAACTTTAGAACAGATTGACTGAAAAATTACAATAACAAGAGGAAATCAGCAGTTATACTTTCTCCCTCTCCTACATCCCATTTATTGTTTTTACCTCATCGGGGTTTGCAGCCTTTACGTTCTGTTTTGTAACCACAGAGCTGGTATTTGGGTGGGTTTTGTGTCCTTGCCAGCAGCCCTGGCAGGAGCGGCTGCAGTCCTGAGGTCATGGTTGGCTATGGTGCACAGGCAAGAAAGGTTTTCTAGAAGCATTGTAAATTAGAGGCCCCAGGGTGGCTCAGCTGGTTTGGTGTCTGACTTTGGCTCAGGTCATGGTCTTGTGGTCCGTGAGTTCGAGCCCCGTGGTGGGCTTTGTGCTGTCAGCTCAGAACCTGGAGCTTCCTTCAGATTCTGTGTCTCCTTCTCTTGTTCTGTCTCAAAACTAAATAAACATTAAAAAAATTATAAAAAAGAAGAAGGGTTGTAAGTGCTTGAGAGTAGAGTCTGCTTATGGTCATTTTAGTTTAAGGATCACTTGGCTGGACTTAAAATCCTCAGGACACTCTTTCCTCAGGACGTTGTAGACATTCCTCTGGCATCCAATGATACTGTGGAGAAGCGTCAGGACAACTTTTTTGGTCTCTCCCGAGAATTTTTGCCTGAAGAATTCCTTCTTTAGTCTTGAATCCTAATAGCTTAATCAGGACAGGTCTCCTCTCAGTGTCTGTTGTTTTCTCTGAGATTTTCCTGTGCTTAATCGGGTTTTCTTTTTTGTTTTGTGGATTCTTCCATGTCAGGAAAATTTTTTGGTGTTTTAATTGTGAATACCTCTCCTGCTCGGCTTGTTGGTGTCTCTGCTTTACAGACACAGTTGTGTATTTCACAGACCTCCCCCATTTATCAGCTTCTCTCTGTTTTGTAATCCTTCGTCTATTATCTGCTTTTACACGGCCTTTTCTTTTAGGTGAGTAATTTGGTTTTCAGATGTCTCTATTTTGTTCCTTGCTATGTTTAGTTTATCACTTTTGTCTGTTCGGGCTCTCAACTCACTTTCTCAGCACAGAATGTGCCTTTTAATCTGTTGTTTTTATCATTGCTTCTTTGAATTTTTTATTGAATTCACATTATTAAGGAAGTGTGAAACATTTGTAAGACGTTTTCTTCTGTTTGAATTGTATTTTCTTCCAGACTAGGTTTTTTTTTTTTTTTAATGCTATTGCTTTCTTATTAATATCTTTTTCTTTCTTCCTTAAACTGTGTTACTATTCCTGAAGCACGGTTGCTGTGAGGTGTCTCTTCAGCCTCCTTCTGCATGGCATGCAGATGGCCACACAGGCCATTTGCTCTGACTTTGTGTGGATGGGTTCTCCTTGCCTACCTCCCCAACTTGATGGAGAACTGTTTGTATCCCACTCTTGGCTATGTTCTGAGGGTAGTGTATTTGTTTTATTCGCTGTATTTGCAGTCTCCCAAGAACACGGGAAGGAGAGAAAGAACTCAGTGGAGGCTTTGTACAGCTTTTGTTGAAGATTCCCAATTCCTGTGGCTCTTCTGTGCCCTGGGATGGATGTGAGCTGTGCTAGGCTCACTCTGTCTAGTGGTGGATGGGTCTTTGTACTAGAGTGGAAGATGATTTGGCTCTCAGAACAGGCCCTCAGTGGGCTAAGGCCTGGAACATCAGAGAGAATCAGCTCTCTTTGCTTACTTTTCTTACCTTCACCTATTGTCTTCAGCAGCTCTTTCCACTCCCACAAATCAAAAAGAGGAAAGAAGATAAGGTTTTGGCCTTTTGTTTAATGATTGGCTCTGTGTGTGTGTGTGTGTGTGTGTGTGTGTGTGTGTGTGTGTCTGTGTTGTGGG